CAAATCACCCTACAGTCAGTCAACACGCTCACTTCCTGTCAGACACGCTACAAACATCTAAGGAGGTTTTTGCACAAGTCAATTTGCCCAAACCGGCGAAAGGTGTTTAGTAGGAGACTTTTACATAGTTTTACTTTTTAGGTGGAAATAAAACTGCAGCTTCAGGAGTTCTGGGTTAACATATTTACAGTTTTTTCATCTTAAATCCAAAATATTTATATTTCTTGCAGTTTTGGCTTAATTAGTTCTCTCAGTGTGTTGTTTCAGCAAACAGCAGGATTTAGAGTCTGATTGTAAAATTAGTTGTCAATTATTTCAATAAATTAATTGTCAAGTAAGCAAATCTTTACACAATCTCTTATTTTATTATATAATAAAATAAAACCTTAGTTTTTTTAACTTTTAAATATAGCTACTTAAAAATAAATATTTAAAAATAAAGTATTTTATACAAAATATTTATATAAAAACTATTTCAAAATGAAAAAAGTAAATTATTTTTAAATTCAATACAAAATTATAAAATATTGTATTTTGAAATATTTATCTAAAAATAAACATTTTATTTTTGAAAAAAATTTAAAGTAAAGCATTTTATTTTTAAAAAATTGAATACCGTAAAATTTTAGAATTTATTTTAGATATTTTTTGTATTTTAAAATGAATAAAAATATTTTTTAAAATAAAACATTTTAATTTTAAAATTAACTAAAGTATTTTATTTTTAAAAAGTTAAATACAATTTTAGGGTTTCTTTTACAGATATTTTTAGTATTTTTAAATAAAAAATATTTTTTAAAAATTAAATAAAATGTTTGATTTTATTTGACATTATGTTTAGTATTTAAAAAAAAAATTTTAAATAAAACATTTTATTTTTAATATTAAGCATTTTATTTAAAAAAATTAATACAATTTTAGATTGATTTTATAATATTTTAGTACTTTAAAATAAATAAACAATATTTTTAAAAAACCCAAAATATTTTGTGTTATAACTCACAGAGCCCCTCCTCCGTCAGGTCGACGTTGATGATGAAGAACATGAATCCTTTGGCTCCTTCCTTCTGCCCTCCGACCAGCGTGTTCACCCAACCTGGACAGGAAATGCATTTCACTCGAGTCAAACAGGAAACTCATTCACCATCTTTCTGTTTGGGGACGAACCAAAGATTTATTCTGGATTTAAACTCGGCTGCATATCTGTGTTCCTGCTTTTGATTTCACTTTAAAGAGCCAAACGATCCAACACTTGAAACTATCAGATTACACCGAGAGTTTTATCACTTTTAGTTTTATTTATTGACACAGAGAAGCTGCAGCTTTGAATTCGTCTCTCCAACCATCCTGCAGGTAAGAAACTGAAGATTTTAATCAATTAAATGTGTTTAAACTGAATCAGGGTGAAAGAGGAAAGTTGCTGTTTATAAAGATGATCTGCATTCATTTAGATTTTATGGTTGCAGGAATATATTTAAAAGTGAAATCGGTGTCCGCTTGAGTCAGCTTCAGATTGCATTATTTGGTAGATATTCAGTGTTTCAGCTGCAGAAACAGAGGAAGAGGAGAAGAGAACAGATTCGATGGTAATAAGAAAACTTAAAGTGATTGAAGTGACAAATAGATTTTCAAAGTTTTAATTATTAAATATATGAATGAGAGCAACTTTTATGGAATTTCAACAGTGACAGAAAAAAGTTTGTCAGGAGTGAAAGAGAGCAAAAGAAAGAAAAAAGATTGAAAGAGCAAAAAGAATGAAAAGAAAAGGAGCAAAACGAAAACATTTTCAAACCTCATCTCAGACTAATGATAATAAATAAGTGAGAACTAGTTCATCCAGAAGCTGTGAACAAAGAACTTTTAAGAAGTGAACTATGAATATGACTCAGTTCATTTGAACCTGACTGACTTGAAACGGATAACTACTTCCTGTTTGGGGTGAACTAGAACCAAACCCTGTCAGAGGTTTTAATTTCTCAGCTTCCTTCATTAAAAACTGGAAAATATTTCAGATTTTTCCATCTGCTGCTCCCAGATGTGACAATCCAACTTCCTGGTGCCCAAAAATCTAATTAACATCTGAATAGGGTTGCATGAACGTGCTAACTTAAGTCTAAATCTTTAACAGAAGATCAAATTTAAGCTTCGGATAAGAAAAGGACGCAGTACCTTTGGACTTGAGCTCGGATAACAAACTGCCGGGTCCTTCATGGCCGATCAGGTGACCCAGATAATGTCCCGGGTTCGACTTGTAGTACTTCTGCAGGTCTGGGATGGGGAAGGTGACATACAGGTTCCTGATGTCTTTGACGGGAACCACTTTGTAGAATTGCTTTAACACAAAACAAACAGAGAAAGGGAAGATTAGTTTAACTGTTTTACATTTGTAGGAAATATTGTGAAAGATGTAAAGACCCACTTTAAGGTGCTCTTCTTGAAACGGATGTTCGGGGAATTCTGGGATCGGCACGTTCTTGTTCTCCACTTCTCCAAACAGGTTTTCCACCATCGTGGTTAATTCATCAAGAGACTCTGGAAAGATCAAAACTATTATTATTTCAACAGACCAATATGTGTGCTTTATGTATTACAATGGAGTTTCTATTGTAAAAAATAGTCAAATAAAATCAAAAGTATCTCAAGATTAAAGTCGTAATATTATGACTTTATTCTCGTAGAATTGCAGTTTTATTCTTGTATTTTTTCTTAGTATGACCCCAATACTCTGTCATAACACAAACTATATGTAATTCATGAGAAACTTATTCTAACGGTCATTTCTCACTGTCTGTTTTGCTTTTTATGTCGCCCAAATAAATGTTAATGCCAGACGAATTGAACCTGAGAAAATACAGAGCTCAGCCTTCAGTTGGTTTTATCTAGTAAGAGGAGACATATTTTCACAAAAGTAAAATGTTGGTTTTTGTGGTGCATCTGTATCTTATTTTGAAGGGCTATGTAAACGTTACCATAGCGGCCAGAGTCAGAGTGTCAGGGCAGTGGTCGAGATGAGAGGAGTGGAGCAGCTTGCGAGTTTTAGGTCTGGTTCACGCGGCATAATTTAAGGATTGTTGGCCGATTCTCCAAACTTCTGTGACCACAGAGTCCACAACCACAGCAGGAGCAACACGCCACAAGAACCGATTCCAGTCACGAACATCCCGATTCCAGGAGAAAATCCAGTAAAACCCCCAACATACCAAACGTGAATTTAGAATAATCAAACACGATCACGATGTAGAAGCAGTACTGATAGTTTGGGGATCATTTTAAGCGATAAAAGACGAAACAAAAAGAAAAGATGTTTGATAAAAGGAGCAGTCGCTCTATTTGCTGTACTGTGATTAGGATGAGTTATGTTTTTTTGTAGTTAACATTTTAACTGAATAAACATAACCACATATAAAAAAATGACCTTTACATATAGTAATAAACATTTCCACACGTCACCTCCGATGACCACCGGACTCTCAGTTGCCATGTCAACTCCGTTCTTACGTCACCGCGCTTTCTGATTGGTTCCCTGTCACATTCAACAGGCTGCGTTCTGCTCCCAATCAGGGAAAACCCCACAGACTGTGGTAATCGGGCCAAGACAATGTTGAATATGTCCGATTTTAGATCTGGCATATTCAACACACACTGCAAGATGTTGTAAGATTGTTGTACAGGGAAAATCAGGGCAAAAAAAAAAAAGGCTTTAGCGGGAACACCAACATGCAGAAGCATTATCTGACGGTCCCCCTGCTTTTTATGCTTCTTTATGGGAGCAAATGCTTTTTACATAATACTTATCAACTCAGACTGGATTAAATGGCTGAATCCATTCGTTTTATTGAATGGACTGGATAAAATTATTCCCTGGTCAGTCCGTACCTCTTCCCAACACGCAGAGTCCCATCAGATTAGCAGAATAATACGTAGAGTGAAACTTCAGCAGTTCCTGACGGATATCGACCCCTTCTTTAGAGGGTCTGGTTTCAAGTGTTAGTTTGTTGCCTGCAAAACAATTTAAAAAAACACAAAAATAAATTAATCTCAACTAAAGATTTTTTTAAAATCCCAGAATTTAATTATCTTTACCACTACATTGCAGCTTTGTGATGATATTTATGCTAGCTGTGTTTCCATTACAAATGTGTTCAAAACGTTGTTGGTATTAAGCTAAAAATTAAAAACCATAATTCTTCAATGTCTGTGTTTCCATCAAAAAGGAAAGAATTAAAAATCACACATGAATAAGTTTGTTCACACAATAAGTAATAAAAAAACATGCAGTAAATTTCTTTTTGCTTATATAAAGTATTATGCAACAAAAGAAAAAGAAAAATCATGAGTTAAAAAAATTAAAATGACGCTCCGTCACTCTCCAACCACTTCCTGTCGACGTTATCATTTCTGCCAGTAGTAACAATCTGGTTATTGATCATGTGATGCCAAAAAAAAGTTTCCATTGCTGTTAAATGTACTAATTTTACTGTAGATAAAGAACCTAGGACAAAAACTATTCATCAAAATAATTTATAGAAATTTTTTTTTTCTAAATTTCCATGTTTCCATTAAGTGAATTTATTTTCAGGATTTCAATTTGCACAGTTTCAATAGTTTCACTTTTCAAACTAATAAATAAAATAACTTCTATTGAGATGGACCCATCGTAGTTTATTTTACCATAAATGTAATGGTGACAAAACAAATCCAAATGGATAATCTACTGATACTTAAATGAGTTCAGGAAGGGCTTGGCACGGCTTTCTACCTGTTCCAAATTTACTGAATGGGTGTTCTGGGTTTCCGGTGGCTTTCTCCAGCTGAAACAGCCTCCAGGCGTCATTCATCAGGTTCTTCTCGTGTTCGGAGTCGACGGCATTCACTTCCCGGTCCTTACAGCTCTCATCGAACAGAGGGCACAGGAAGAACTGGGCAAACCTGAAAACATTATTCACTATTCAGACCCAGCACAAAGCAGCAGATCCGACGTTGGATTTTCCACATTGTTAAGAGTTTGCAAACAAAGCAGTGGAGATACACAGCAGCATCATTAGTGTGTAATGCAGAGCCATCTGCATTTACACAAAGTGATAAATCATTTCCATGAAGACAAGGTCAGAGCAACTGCCATGCAAATGAGGAAACAGAAAATACAACAGGTGACCCTCTTCACTCAGAGAGGATTATTCTACTGTGTTCACAACCAAAACAGTTTTAAAGTGTACTTATCTAAAAATGGTTCATCACTACTGCAGACTTGAAGGTCTAAAAGGCCATTATAGGAAGAAAAGGAGTAAATTTCCACCAAAAAGTCAGAAATTTTGAGCCTAATCTCAGAAATGCTCTATATGAAACAAATACATTTCTGAGAATCAGTAGTTGAAAATTTGCTAGAAAAAAATATGAAATTTTGAGATTAATCTCAGAAATATGTGAACCGCCCCCCCCCCACACACACACACACACATTTTTTGAGTTTCAAGAGATGAAAAATTTCTGAAAAACTTTTTTTTCTGGAGATTTTCTGAATTTCTGAAAGCCTCAAAGAAATGCAGCTGATTTGTAATCGGAAAGCATAAAAATACAAAAATTTACATTAAGTAGAAAGATCTAAACTTTTAATAAAATTTAGACTAAAGCACCTTTTTTCCTTGTACATGTTTTTGTCATTTTCCAGCAAGAAAGGGAGGAAGGACATAAACTTCTCTTGATCAGATGAAACACACTGATATAAAACTTTCCCAGAATGCACTGGGATTCCACCTCATGAGATAAAAAGTGAAACACTTGATATCAATTCCGACACTTATGCAAACAGATACCATCATCATCATCATGATGCATCAAAACTCCATACATCACAGAAAGCCCTGCTGAACATGGATGCTAACCGGCAGCTACCTGTCTAATGCTCCTTGCAAGTGCTCATGGGAAACGTCGAAGTAATAGTTGGTGTGCTCGCCACTGGTGAAGGCGTTGGAGCTTCCTGCGTGCTCGCTGAGGAACTGGCTGTATTCGTTCTCCTTGGGGTATTTTTCTGTTCCCAGAAACAGCATGTGCTCACAGAAATGGGCCAGGCCTGAGATGTTCTCTGGGTCAGACAGGGAACCTGGGAAAGAACCACAAACAGTTATTAATTCACCAAATTAATCAGGATGTTGGATTCTGAACACTGCAAAAACACTAAATATTACCAAGTATTTTTGGTCCAGCTTCTAGTGCCAAAATCTTAGTAAACTTCAAATAAGACAAACTAACTTAGAAATAACTTTTCATTAAGATACAGAAGCTTGTTGAAGTAAATAATTTCTTAATTTGGATGAAAATGTCTGAGTTCCACTGGCAGATTATTTCAGTTATAACAAGAACTTTTTTCCCATGTTATAAATCATAATGTTATGAATTACTGACTTAAAACAAGCTCAGTTTTTGCTGAAACGTTACTTTAGAAAGTTAGTTTTGTCTCATTTCAAGTGAACTATTTGCACTAGAAACTAGACCAAATATACTTGGTAAGAATTTGTATTTTTGCAATGATTATCAATGCATTCTTTCAAAACAACAATATTATCAATTATTACAATAATTTCTATGACAATTTATCATCCAGTAATATGTGTTATTATAGCAGACCTAAACTTATAACACAACATTTTCCCACGTTATAAGTGAAATAATCTGCCAACACTGCTAGTCATTTTTCATCAATATTAATACATTATGAAGTTAAAACAAGACCTATGTCTTGCTGAAAAGTGACATGCAAGTTTGTTTTTCTTATTTCAAGTGTACTAAGATTTTTGCACCAGAAACTAGAGCAAAAATACTTGGTAAGATGTTGTGTTTTTGCAGTGAAGGAGCAGGAAGAGTGAAGCCTTTACCTATGTGCACATCCAGTGCGGCTGATGATTTGTCGGTCGTCGGGTCGCTGATGAGCATCGCTTTGAGTCCATTTCTGAACTCCAGGCCCCGGTAGTCCCGTCTGTCTTCAGGAGACCGAATTATATCGGTGATCACCCTCCTCACAGCTGGTTCCGTCATTCTGAGAGGTAAGGATGACACCAGCCTGCAGGGAAGAGAAACAAACAAAAATGTAGCACGGCGTTGTTCAACATGTGGACCATGGGCCATTTGTGGCCATTGGAATGATGTAGTGTGGCCCCCTAACTGCAGTTCAAGAATTCTCAAAATTTGGTCCTACAATGGGAACTTATTTCTTTAGCACGAGAATTTTAGTTTCAAACTTTTTGTTGTTTTTTTTTTTTCTTTTTAGCAAACTTTATGGCCTGAATTTTGCTCCATACATACCGTTTTTCCGACTTCAAAAGCAAAGGAATTTTGTCATCAATAAATTAAAAATGCAATATTTTAATTAAACAACGCATAAACTTTTGTCTTAATAAAAGGCAGAAGGTTTCCAAACTTTTTGGTTATTTTTTCAAATTATTTGGTCTAGAAAATTTTTTAGTCTATTCCAAGCAACAACAAAAAACAGCAAACTTTCTTCCAAAATAAATAAATAAATAAATAACTTTTGAGGAAAATTAATAAATGTGTTCCAGTCTTCTTACTTTAAATAAAAAGTCTCTGCGTGTTTACAGTTACATTAAGTTAAAACTAAAAGAAACCATGGCCAGTAAAAATATCTGTGCCCAACACTTTCCAGTAAAAAACTAATGAAATTGTTATTTAGTTACTTTTAAACCATAATAATGATACAATTGTTGAATGTATAATGTCTTTTATGTTTTTTTTCAATGTAAAGCACTTTGAACTGTGCTGTTGGTGAAATGTACCATACAAATAAACTTGATTGCTTCATAAATTTGTCTCTGAAAAGAAAACTTGAATATGAAAGTAGCTTGTAACATTCTTTTCTTCTTCAAAATTTTTGGTTTCAATAATTTTTTTTCTTTTGAACAATTTTATGGCCACAATTTAGCTCCATAAACTCCACTATCTCCGACTATTTTTAGCTATGGGATCCTGGTCCTGGAAGCAAAAAGACGGACAGAACATGTCCGTCTTTAGAACATGTTCGCATCCATTTTAGTGTGCGAGTATCCCAAAAATAACCATACAATCCAGAAACTCTTAACCAGTCATTAGATTATGATGAGTTATTATCCTCCCAGTTCCATTTCAAGTTGTAATAAATCCCAGCGGGGTGAGCTAAGTAGAGCAGCATCTTGAAGGACACATTTAAGTGGATGTTGGAATCAATAAGTCCAACATCCACTACAAAGAGCTTTATATTGTTGCAGTACAGTGGAGTTACAAGAACACCCATTAGCTACACCTTAATCGTTTTATTCATTTAAGTGAAACATTTGTGTCAACTGCAAAACTGATAAAACCATGTTTGATCTACCTGAAAAGCTGTAGCTTTTCCCCCCTCTCTTTCAAACAAACCAAATAGTTTGGATTACATTTGAATACAAATGATAGTGAAACAACTCTAAACAAAAACTGGATAACAGAGGGAAGGTCACATCACTAGTTTGGCAGTATTTATAATAGAACAGAATATACTTTATTGAACCCTCAGGGGAATTTGCTCATTCATTGACAAATTACTCCATATAAGGAGTTAAATATTAATAATACAAATATGATAATAAGAGATCAAGTTTATAATATTGATAATATTGTAATTTTTAGACCATTTTTAAGTAATATATTGATGTTGGCATAATAGTGCAAGTTTGCCCCCTCTCAAAGATTAATAAACTTTAATTGTATAAGAACACTAACCACTGTTAGTGTAATAAAACTCATATAAAACACAACAAATAAATCTTGAAAAAAAGCACAATTTAAAACAAAAACTATAAATAATGTGGATTATGACATTTCTGTAAAACATACTGAATTCACAGCTTAAACACCTGATGCAGATGACAGCAGGTCAGTAAAAGCCTGTTAATCAGGTGTGCTGAAACTGGGAAACGCCTAAAACATACAGGGCGAAGTGCGTTGGGAAACACTGATTTAAGGATTAAAATAAGGCTTTAATGTAATAATTTATTTTAAAAATACTGACCGCTTGCCAAACTTGTCATCCGCTGAACGGGTATAAATACCAACGTGTATCGAACTAAAAATTATATTAGTGTGGTTAAAAACAAATGGAGCAGACTAAAATAGGCTAAAAGCAGAGTTTTTTTTATTTATTTGTCTGATATGAAACATCGGGAGAACATGTTTAATTCCTCTGACTCACTAAAGGAAAGCTAGCATTAGCTTGTTCTAGTTAGTACATGCCAGAAAAGTTAACACGTGCCAAGACACCACAGACTTCAGCCGCCGGGTTTGGAGGAATTGTTGAATAAATTAGAAAAAGTTTCGTATTCGATCATGTTACAGAATTGTTAAAGCTGCATCTTAAAATAGCAACGAGGCTAACAGCCGTTAGCTGAATTGCCTAACCAAATTGAGCAAGTCAGCTAGCTAACGTTGCTCCGGTATCTTCGCCGTCTTGTCGTGCTACAGCCGGCGTTACTTTTATTTAAATTTTTTTATGTCAGGCCTAAAAAATGAACCGGCGAGTCTTACCTAAAATCTTGGTTAACACAGACGCTGCTTCCTGTTGACTTGAGATATCTGGTGATCTGGGCCGTTCGGTTAATGCACTTAAACATACTTTGCACCCATCGAAAACAAATCATGGGCTTTACAGCGCCATCTTTAAACAGACTCGACTAGTCGAGCGCGGAACTGGCGGATATTTTGTGTCGTAACTCGCCGGTTAAGCGGTAAATTATTTCAATCGTCCACTCGGACACAACAGCAAAGATCAAACAGCCATAAACAGCCAAGTTAAAACCTTTGTCAAGAAACAAGCAATCTGCAGTTTACTAAATGTTGTCTTATGTCATTGATTCGGAAATTGATTAAACAGTCTGCATAGAGATTTCCTTTAAACGTCAAGTCGCAAGCAACGTCATGCTTGACTTTCATTGGTGCGTCCAGCGCCGGGTGCATCTAAATAATTTAGACTCAACTGGAGCCAAAAGCAACAAACAGAACAATATTGTCAGTCTCTAATAATACTCTACTGGAAATACAGAAGCACAGATATAAGTCTAGTGATGTTAATTTATTCTCTAAGGAAAAACACTTTATTTAAACACGTGATTTTATGTATTTTATGTCTTTGCTTCTGTTCATTCCTGTAAATGTTCATTAATAACTTGCCTTGTGTTGATTAAGTTTCTTTCTATAAAGTTTTTTTTTTTTTTTTGGAGGAAAGTTATAATATCACAGAAATGCTGTTTTATTTCATTAATTAAATTTTTTTAAAGTGGAGTTGACATATTACACAGAGTTTTAAACATTTATTTCAGTTCCTTTCTATGATTGTGAATCAACTATTAATAATAAAACAAGTTTTAATCTATCGGAAGATTTAGATATAACATAAAAGCAAATAATTTTTTATACATATTTTATATGACAACAGCCTAACAGATAACTTGTGAAACCTCTACAAGAATAATAAATAAATAAATAAAGCTGGCTCTTTACAGAAAAATCCATCTTAGCATTTTGATTTAAAGTTGAGTAAAAGGAAAAGTCTTTGTGATGCTGTTTAGTTCCTAATTTTGAACTGCTGGATTTATTTTGCGATCAAAATAATTTCAAAATATTGAAATTTTGAAATTATTTCAAAACCTGGCAAATGAATCATTTACCAGGTCCTGGTCTCCATTTACCAATCCTGTTATCTGAAGGAAATAAATTTTATTTAGAGTATAGTGTCAATTCTAAAAACACTCAATAAAAGAATATTTTCACAAGGAGCTAATACTTCTGTATTCTCCATTTCTTGTGACTGTAGAAACGTTTCTTTCTGCTGAATTAAAAACAAGTGAATCAGTCTTTAATGGTGACTGATTTTGTTGTTATTTTAGGTCAAAGTTTCTGAATGTTTTTCAGATGGGCTTGAGAAACTGTTCGTGGCTGCAGGAGCCAATCTTCTCCACTAGATGGCATCATAATCCTGTATTTGTTCAACCTTTTTTCATCATTTCACCTTTCATTTAAGGCACAGATGTCAAACTCCAGTCCTCAAGGTGTCCAGCAGTTTCTATATATGCCACAGGTACAAAACACTGGAATGAAATGGCTTAATTTCCTCCTCCTTGTGTAGACAAGATCTCCAGAGCCTCAATGACCTAATTATTCTATTCAGGTTTGGTGCAGTAGAGGCACATCTAAAAGTTGCAGGACATCGGCCCTTGAGGACTGGAGTTTGACACCCCTGATTTAAGGCATGACATGAAACCCAAGAACATTCACGGTTTTGTTTTTATTCTAACACAGATGTTGCAGCAATAATGAACTTGAACTTTGGAAGATCCTCATTTGCTCCAATGTAAGTCAGACATTTCCTGAAATCTTAAGAGTAATTTAAATCCTATTTGCTAACAGGTTGAGACTTTCACCCTTAAAATCTGTTGTCTGTCTGCAGCGAGCGCCCTGTTATCTTGCGTTTCTGTTTGCATTGAAAGAGGAACTGATAGTTAGAGTCATCAGACTGTAAGTGGGATTTGCAATGCCCCTCCTCTTTTAAATCAAAACTCAGCAGTTGTGTAAAGCTCTTTGAACCGGACAGAGAGCCGGATCAGACCATCGGGGAACTCTGCTGAGCAACATGGAGGAATCAGCGCACCGACGAGGAGACAAGAAAGTGGTGGCAGTGGTGGGAGGCGGTTTGGTAAGAAGGGAAAATGAAAGTGAAAATACCAATTCAATGTGTACACAGTATTTATTTTACACTGCCTGGGTGCAAACATGGTGATTGTTTGGTTTTACAAAGCATTACTCTTTCATCGTGTCATGTAGGAAAAGTTAAACTATAAACAGAAAGCACAGAAAAGGCATTTTGAACTGCACTGACATTATTATCAAAGCACATCTTTTCATCTTTGAGGTGGGGGCACTCAACGCCTGCTTCTTCGCCAAAAGAGGCTTTGAGGTGGAAGTCTTTGAAACAAGAGAAGGTAGCTTTTATTTACAAATCAAAACAAAATAATAATTAAAAAATCAACTGACGAACAAATTATTCTGTGTGTTTTCGGTCAGATATTCGGAAAGCCAAAGTAGTGAAAGGCAGAAGCATCAACCTGGCTTTGTCCCACAGAGGCCGGCAAGCCCTGAAACATGTTGGGATGGAAGATAAGGTATGTTGATTGAATGAAGTTATTCATGCACAAGTGGAGAAAAGGTCAGCTGTAAAGATTCTCATAGGCTTTATGTCATGTAGGAAAAGTTACTTTGCCCCTGTTCTTTGCACTGCAGGGGCAAAGAACAGTTGACATGTTTTATTCACAGGTGGTAAAGTACCCAAAGATTGCACTCATGTAAAACTTGCACTACTTCAACGTATTTGTACTCAAGTAAAGTTACTTTTGGACAGTAACAGTAACTGTCCAAAAGCGTACTCAAGAATAAAAAAGTATGTGGTACTGAATAACCGATCAGAACATCTTGATGTTCAAATAAGATGTTATCAGATTAAAATGTAAAAATATGTCCAAATATTTTGTCGAATCTAATTTATTTATTTATTTAATTTATTTATTGCCGTAGTCATTCACACTTCCAAATGCCCCTTGTTTGTGAACTCCAGCGTGAACTATAAACAACCTGAAAGTGTCCCGCATGCGCAGTAGAGGGCGCAATGACGTCACAGACAGCGTTCTCCCTGTTTGCGGAAGTAAACGTGGATGCTAGCAGTGGAGCTTATTTTAGAATAGAATAGAATAGAATAGCATTTATTGTCATTGAACAGGATTCAACGAAATTTCTATTGCAACTCCCGTGCAAAGAGTCAAATATATACAATATTAAATAAACAAACACACAATAATAATAATAATAATAATAATAATAATAATAATAATAATAATAATAATAATAATATACAACTAAAATTAACTAAAGGCACTCAACCACACCAAAGACGATTTTACGATTTTAAAGTGGTTGTTCTACCGGAGTCGGCACATTTACGACTTAATCTTCAGTTTTGTCCGTCATGGTTTTTATCAGGACGCAGTTTGTCGAGTATCAGTGCCTTTCGGGTCGGATGATACTTTCGGGTTTAGGGTCACATCAGAGATTATCCGATCCGTGTTCAGACTGTCATGAAAATATCAGCTACAGGTCGCATAAAAAAGAAAGATCGGATTTGGGTCACTCCAGGCTGCATTGCGAACGTAGCCGCAGTTAAATGAAAGGAGCTCGTTGAGTGTTTATATTAAAAAGCAAAAATGCGTTTTGAATCTGTTTGGACCGTTTCTCTTTCCCGCTCTGTTACGGCCGCCATCTTTGTTCTGAATCAGCTGATAGCAGGTAGAAAAATACATTAGAAAACAAACTTTGTGCTCAAACAAGAGGTCTTACTTTAACTGGGAGCAAAGTACCCAGACATTTTACTGAAGTAAGCACAACAATACTTTATAATAAAATCACTCAACTAAGTAAAAAGTGCAGCTCAGTAAAGCTAGTTATAAGATACTTTTGGGGGGTAACGGTGCAACACAAATTAGTGCATATTATCCTTCCTGAATAGTTTCGCCTCATTGTTTAGTTATTAATTATTCATTTTTCTTTCCCCAGATTGTTTCCAACGGAATCCCAATGAATGCCAGGATGATTCATTCGCTAAGTGGGAAACAATCTCCGATCCCGTATGGGAAGAAAGGACAGGTAAATCTGCAGGACCGCCGCCGTTTCCAAGCCTTGGTAGATTTTTAGTTTAGGAGTTAGAAACCTTTCTGTTGCAATAAAATCTGTTAAATAATAAATACAAAATAATAAAATAATCCACATTTTTAGAGAGCGCTTCCTATAACGAAAGAAGATTTCTCTACTATGCAACAAACATCTAGTTGGGAAAAGGTTTGTAAGGATTGCATCAGATGTACAAATTCACTTTCAGATAAAATATTAATCATTCCAGAGTTTGGACTAACATTGAGGTCACTATTTAAAATATTTTTGTTAGAAAAAAAACCTGCAGCGTCTTTTAAATTAAGTTTAATCAATCATAATGTCATAAAGTTGAGACAAGATGTAATTCTTCACTCAACAAAGATGAAGCAAAAAAAGATGGAAAAACCAGATTTTTGTGGAAAACTGACGCTATAAGTTGCCCTGAAAAAACCAAACCAACACCCAGGCATGGAGGTGGCAGCATCAGGCTATGGGGAGGAGACACATTAGTTTCTGCAACACCATCTTAAAGTCCCATCGGTGATGTTCAATCACATTCGGCAGTTGCAACACCTTTTTTATTTTATTTTGCTCCTGTTCGTGAGCCCATATCACCACTCCACCATCACTGTGTCTGGTAAGACCAAATGGCATTTGGACTTACATCCCCTAATACCATTCTTCCAGAAATTTTTAGTGTTTTGGGGATTGGGGGGATTCTTTTTAGAATTGTATTTCTTTTAGCACTGCCCAATTTGACCTTTAAGTGAATGTAAAGGTCAAATTAGATTCACTTAATTAATTCAGCAGTTGGACGCCTTAAATAAAATTTTCACAAAACACAGATGCTTTTGTAAGGTTATTGCTGATGTCTTTCTGCTTTGGCATTGTGTTCAATCTTGTATTTTTTCAGAGATGAATGCTAAATAAATACACTGTAAAAACACAAAATCTTACCAATTTCTCCTGCAAATATCTTAAAAGGAAAAACTAAATTACAAGATATAGGAGCTTGTTTTAAGTCGGTAATTCCTTAATATTGATTTTTAAAAAGTTCCAGTTCAGCTGGCAGAGTATTTCACTTATTTCACAATCGTTACCTAGCAATGTCAGTCCAGCACGTCGCTCAGCAAACCAGTTCTAGGTCCAAGATTGTTTCACTTAACATGGAAAATAATTTGTTATTGGAATTAATGATTTAAAATTAGCTCCTAAATGATAGGTATTTGTAATTTAGTTTTGTCTCATTTCAACTGTAATAAGATATTTACACCAAAATTACTCTGTAAGATTTTGTGTTTTTGAAGTGTATGACAAATTAAAATTAAAAAGGCGTTTTTTTTTTTTAACACATATTTTTACTAAATATAAATGTGAGCCTCGTCTGAAAATGGAAATGATTTCTCAGCTGCCAGTTTGGCAGCGGCTCATAATCCCATTAAGGGACCTTCATAGTTAAATAAAACAAAAATATTCCAAACAAACCCTGGAGTCTTCCTGTTCCCATTTTAAGGTGATTTGTTCACATTTCTCTTCGGTTGGACTACATTAAATATTGTTCTCTTTTTAGTACATCCTGTCTGTTGACAGAGCCAATCTGAACAAAGAGCTGCTGACAGGTAAGAATGGAAAATAGATTAATCACATCCAGTTATGACACAGATTTTGTTCTATCAGCTGCAGAAAGAAATTGGAGTAAAATTGTTTTCCAGATGCATCACCCCTCTGGGAATGTGGCTAGAGGTTAAATTATTGACGAATGTTGATAAAATTGTAATACTGGACACATTTCTGCTAGTTCTCTGCATTAAAAGGCCAAATGTGTTTTTTTTTATTCTTTCAACTTCATAATTAGCATTGCTGCTCAGTTAGGAATGATATTATGTTCAGATATGTTTTTCTTTTAGCTTAATGCGAACTGCATCTGAATGTATTGTTTTATAACTAGATGGGATTGAACTGCTGCAAATAAATCCGTCTGTATTTTTTTGACTGAAATTAATTAAACTAAACTGAATTTAATTCACTTGAACTCACTTCATTTAAATTGGCCTAAAACAAACTGAATTTGTTTAATTTGCATCGACTTGAACTAAAGTCCATAATTTGAGTTTAACTGAAGCGATTTCTTTAATTAATGAAATTTATTCAAACTGAACAAAATTATTTAATTGAAAGTGAACTGACTTATTGAACTGGTTTAAACCAAACTGACTTCAGTAAAACAGGATTGAACTGAACTGAATTGATCTAAACCTGACTAAAATAAGCTGAAGTAAACTGAACTAAATTAATTATATGTTCATTAACTGAACTGAATTGGATCATTTAAATCAAATCGATTCAGTGAGCTAACGAAAATAAACTTAGACAAACTGAACTGAATCAACTGGAATTGAACTGAACTGAGATGAATTCATGTAATTTGAACTGAACTGAGCTGAATAACTTTATTTGAATTGAAGTCATTATTATTAATTGAACTAAGTTTATTTTAGCTGAAAATTTTAAACTTAACTGAATTGAACTGATGTAAACTGAACTGAATTTAATAAATCTGAGCCAAATATATTTTAACAGAACTAAAATAAAGTGAAGAAAACTGAACTAAAATGAATTTGAACTAAAATGAATTTGAACGGAACTGGATAAGCTACCAGGCTAAAGCGATTATTTTTAACTGAATTTATTTGAACTGAACTGAACAACTTGACGTTAACAAATATCAAAATCGCATGTAATGAAAGACCTGGTTTATTAAGTTCAATATTTTTTATTTTGTCACTTATTGTATAAAGTATTTGCTCTTTTATTGTTTGTCCAGATTTTGGCACTTTTCTCTCCATTTACGTTTCCTGGCATTCCTTAAGTTAAACAAAACTGAATTTAAACAGGCGATATTAGGGGATGTGTTTTTCTTTTTTTTTTGTAGCTGCAAGGATTTTTTCCTAATATTCAAAGAGGAGCTTCTGACAGATAAAGTGGCAGCTTGGCTCTATTTTTAATTAGATTTCCTGGATGCGCTGGGAGAGATTGTCGCTGCTCTTATCGTGGTTGATTCAGGCGGCTGCCGCTCTGAACTCTGAAGATAAAGAGATTTCAGTGTGAAAACCCAAAACCATCAGTTTGCACAGATCCCAGCTGCAGCGCTGCTGCTCCACTGATGATCGTTCAGTTTTTGCTGACCCTCTCTTTAGCGGACTAAAAGTTTTGTGTGTATTGTAAGAAGAAATGGCAGCTGTTTTTGTAACTCTCACAGAGGCAGAGACGTATCCAAACACAAAGCTGAACTTTGACCACAAACTGCAGGACTGGAGTGCTGAAACCGGACTATTGACCTTCACCAGGTAATTAGTTAGCGATCACATGCAGAGATCCAGAAGTTCACTTTCCATGGCAGGAGAAAGTGAAATTACTCAAGAGTAAAAAAGTATTTGGTAAAAAATCAACTCAAGTAGTGAGAAACTGATTAAATTGTCAATCATTTAATATTTAAAAATTATGTCATCAGATGGACCAAATGATAAAATTCAGTGGAAATTTTAATATTTTAAGGACAAAAAATGACAATAATTTATATAAACAAAATCATGTAAAATATATTTTTTACAAATCAGTTTCTTTCAGTATAAAACTCATAAAACTTTAATCAAAACTGCAGGTGTGTGTCTTTTTCTGGTGAAGTTTGGGTTCAAACATGTTTGTTTTTAATCCTGGGGGAGAAAATTTTACTCAAGTAAGAGCAGAAATACTTTTTAATAAAATTACTCCAATAAAAGTAAAAAGCACAGCATACTAAAAATACACTACTTGAGTTTGCCAGGAAAAACTTTCAAAGACTGTTACACATTTAATTGAGTGACTTTTTTTGAAGATGTACTGAAAGTATATTTTTCTAAAAAAAGTTACTAAATGTAACTGAGTAAATGTAACTAGTTATTACCCAGTTCTTGTCATCACCCCCCAAAGACGATTATTTTTGCAAATGTACAAAATTATAAAGTAAGTAAAGAAACAAAAAGTTTTTATTCAATAATTATTACATTATGTTAGCATAAATGCTAACCTCATTCGCTCTGATTTTAAATGGCCTTGAGTTCTGTGGCAGAAATTTTCATTATTAGATAATACATTATTCCTTAATCATTACAATCCTCTCTTGATCTATTGTACGGATATCAGGGGTATAGGATCCCGCCCCCAAAAAGGACAAACTGCTGCTGCTTATGATGATTAGCATTGGCTTTAGCTGTCAAGTTGTCAACATAATGCGTTACATCTTAAATGTTTGCCTGATATAGAAAAGAACAAAGGGCACAGTAGTCAACACTTCAACAACTAGATAACCAGGTCAGAAAAACGTTTTAAAGAAACAGCGAGGGAGGTGAAGAAGGTCAGTCATGCTAGCTTGACTTTGACAATCGTAATTGTAGATGTGCTGCAGAATTTGGTGTGTTTGGGTTCAGCAAAAATAGAAAAAAATAAAAAATGTTGATCCAGACACTAACTCTGACAGATCCTGATGTTTTTTTTCCTCACCTTCCCTTCAACTTTCTGAGCGCCCCCTGGAGGCACCACTTTGAAAAACTCTGTTAGCTGACGAGGGTTTAGAAATGTGATGGTCTTGTTGTGTTTTTAACGGCTGTGAGTAATTAAATTTATTTTTTTTTCATAACTGAATGCCCCGAGGAAAACGTGACGCACAATTTACAATCCAATTAACCCTGAAACACCTCCAGCTCTTCTCGGGTGGGAGGATTCGCGCTTCAGCTCTTGATTAAAGCACCAGGCAGAAGCACAAACTCTTGTACACAAATTCTCTAATTAAATGCAGTCTTATCTGGAAATTAAAAAATATCCATTTATTTTAACGCCCACAGCTCCATGCAGAAATTTTCCCGCTTCTTTTAACTTTTTCCATTGTTGTTTTTTACTGGGATTTTATGAGGTAGACCAATACAAAGTGGAGGGGAAATCTAGCTTAGAACATCTTGAAATGTTTGGCATTGATTTGCATTGAGGGGGTTGGCCAAAGCCTTTTAGGGGCCCTAAGCAGATTTTCATTTTGTGCCCCTTTGCCCCCATACAAACAGGTCAACACCAGATGCTTTATCGTTCCTTGTCTTACATACCTATATCTTAGGCAATGCTTGTTATTACAGATGTTATTTTGGCTGTTGAGTTTCAAAATTTTAAAATATTTAAAAATATTTTAAAATTAAAATAGGTGCTTTAATAACTTTGAAACCAATTTGCATCTGTATTCTTGAGCAAATGAAAAAAAAAGTAATTATAAATATAATTTTTCCAACTCAATAGAAATTCTAAATTAATATTAGATTTATTCAACTTAATTTTGGTTTGGGAGGTGAAGTGAGTTACGTTGGTTTCCTAAACCAAATTTCTTGTGTTTAGTTAGTAATAGGCAACATTGGTAACTGAGTGGAAATTGTTGCCTCCATCAACAAAACGTGTACAGAGCGAACTTGTGTTTATTTATTAGGGGCGCAAAAAAAATTTTAAGTTGTGGGAAAAAATCAACCAGCCATTTGTAAGCAATAAGTTTATGGTTTTTGGAGTCTGAAAAATGAGCCTCGTTAAACAGAATTAATTTTCTGCATATATTTAGAGTTAGTTTTTTAAAGTGACAAGACGCTGTAAAAGAATTCATTCAAGCTAACGAGATAATATCTCATTATTTAAATTAATTGAACAGGTTTTTTTATTACCTATCATAACATGACCAAGATCAGCTTCAGCGATAAAAAGGCCTGTTTGCTGGTGCTAAAAGGTGTTAAAATGACGATTTAAAACAAGCTGCAGTCGACAGTGCAACAGTGACAACGGTTCAAGTCGATTTCCAAAGTTCCTTCCTCCTGCTGAGGTTAGAGCATGCAGGGCTCAGGAAACAAAACCCAGTAATTCATTTCAAACTCGACAGGCTCCAGCTAGAGAGGTTAAATCTAATGGCTGCACAATTAGAGAAAAAGACAGAAAAGGTTTAATTTGTTTCAAAGATTTCTCATTAAAAAAAAGAAAATTACTACTGTGGGTTATGTCTACTGGCTGCTGTAATTACTATTTTATTCAACCCTGTAGGAATGAAATGAGTTGTCTGCAGAAATAGGCAGATATATGAACACCCTCTGAGTTTTGCAGTCAATTTTGACAGATTTTCTGTGTTTCTGCTCTTTTGTAGCATTTGACGGATACACAGGTGAATTTTTGCTGTACTGAAAGTAGCAAACTTTATGAAATAGGATATTTCTGAAGCTTTATTGTTTACAATTTCCTATCTGTCTTGCTATTTACCACCTAGAAAAGTGCTTTAATTTTTTTTTTCACACCTGAAGTGACTGTGAGGCTTGATGGAGCTGAAAAAGGTGTAAAAGAAAGAAATGCTCTTTGTCTAAATATAAATGAATGACCAAAGAATCAAAGTAAAATATGTAATGAAAAAATAACAATTTAATCCTTTGTATCAGTTTCAAGAAATGTAATGCTGAGCATGTCAAGTTCCATTTTCATAATTCAAGAATATTTACATATTTTGAAAATAAGTCTCACATCTTATTTGCATAAATAAAAATCGTCCTCTTATAAGTGAAACTACTTTAATTTTAAGGTATTTTTACTTATTTTGGAATATTTTGACAAGCCTCATTTTATTGTTTGGTTTCCAGAAATATTTTCTTATTTGGCGTAAAATCTATATTTTAATACTTTTTGTTAATTTTTTTTAAACATAACGTTTTACAGTGTGGTGCTTTACAGTTTCACTTTTCCTCAAACTGCAGCCACAAACATCAGTGTACATTAGTAGTTGATTCACGAGCAAAAATAAAATATGTGAGCTGTAAACTATGGGTTAGGTTGAAGAATAACTGTGGCCCAGTCAAAGTACAGACATACAGAATCAGATCACATCTCATTCAGTCTGAGGCTTTTTACAAAGAAAAAACTGGAAATAATTTAGTCTCTATAGCTGGCAGAGACAAAATCTGGAAAGTGTTGCTAACCAACTGTTTGTCAGTCATTAAAAACTCAATAAATATATTAAAATATTACAATGAAATAATGCATCTGTCTGAGGTTGCTCGTTCCATTACTCATTAATATGCAATAAAAACAGTGTGTCAGTCTGTTTATTAATGAGGCCCCAGGCTAAAACCAACAGATTGTTAAAACATGTAGATTCAGGTGGAAGACTTTCTCTAATTCAGGGCTGAAACGATTCATCTGAAATGATTCATCTGAAACGATTCATCTGAAACAATTCATCTGAATCGATTAGTTGTTTCTCAGAGCAATTGAAAATATAAATTTTCAATTTAAGACAAAAAAACAACCTTTGCCTGTAAATATGTTCTATTTGGAATGGTTTAGGGACACCAAACAAAAAGAAATAAAAAAAACTTTTCTTGGAATTTTGACTTTTTTTTCTCAAAATTACACATTTTCTCAGAATTTTAATTTTATGTCAGAATTCAAATAAATAACCAAACATTCTTAGGTGTATCATGTCAATAATTTTGTTAGCATTAAAAAATAATTGCATAAATATTTCTTCTTTGTTCTATGATTGACCCAGTTGACCTGTGATTTGAGTCTTATTATGCCTGATTCTGCATGAACAATTTAAATTATTCTGATTCTGAGGGAAAAATGTCTGAATTCTGATATTAAAGTCGGAATCATCTTTAAAATAAGGTTAAAATCTACAGAATGTTGAAATTTTTCATCCGATTAATCGGCAGAATAATTGATTATTAAAATAATCGTATGTTTCAGCCATACCTTGATCATATTTAAGTGGAAGTATCTGATTCTCAGGCCGGACGGATCCAAGACGCAGACTCAAGCGGACCTGATCGTCGGTTGTGACGGCGCGTTCTCCGCCGTCCGGAAGCAGTTCCTGCGCCGCAGCCGCTTCAACTACAGCCAGACGTACATCCCGCACGGATACATGGAGCTCACCATGCCACCGAGAGACGGAGAGGTCAGGCGGGTTTTACGGCGGCTCGAGGCTCAGATTCACAATCAGGCTTTGCTTTTTTACCTCTGAGCTCATTTCCACCTTCATCATCATCTGCAGTTCGCGATGAAGCCAAACTACCTGCACATCTGGCCCAGAAACACCTTCATGATGATCGCTCTCCCCAACCTGGTGAGGGAGAAGTGCATTTCTTTATTATTCTTTTTTATATCTTTGAATGTGTACAGGAGAAAAAAATGCAACTAAAAACAGTTTATTTGTTCTATCGAACAAATTTCATCAGTTTCAGACAGCAGTGTTGTAAAATAAATACTGCCACCTGCAGGTGGGAGTTAATATCACTTTCATTAATGTTTTTGAGAATTTTTGCAGAAAATGTGCAAACAAAAGGCTAAACTAGATGCATTTCTTTTAATACAACAAACTTACAAAAAATAAAGTAGAATTAAGTTGTAAATTTCTGCAGGACATTTTGAGAGTAATCTCAGAAATTTTCTTGCAAAACAAGGAAATTTGCTATAAAAAAATAAAAAAATTCTTAGATTTCTACAAAAAAACTTAGAAATGTCAGAATTTTAAATGTTGAAATAAATAAAAAAAATTCAGGTTTTGGATCCATAATAAATATTGGTCTACTTTCAATGTCAAATTTATTGATATTTCACATTTAGAAACAAGTTTAAACTGCACCAAAAACAATAACATGAGAAGAAATTGATGAAACTTAAAAAAGTTAGTAAATAAAATAAAACATCACAACAGAAAAGTTGCAGTATGAGGACATAATTAAATGCTAACAAATAAAATAAGTTTTAAGTAGTGATTTAAACTGACCTTTGTTTGTTTTTTTGGTCTGTAATTAATCTCTTAATTAGTAGTTTAATCAGTTAGTAGTTTAATTAGTAGTTTATCAGTTCTTAATCAGTTATTTTTTTTCTGTGATTAAAGTCAGCATTTTTTTTCTGTGGCCTAATCCTCTTCTGTACTTTTGTCCCACGTGGCGAAGAGTTTGAACACCTCTGGTCTATAAAAGGTTAAATGTGTCTTAAGGATAATATTAATGCATCTTTTGTTTATTTTCTAATTTAGGACAAGACGTTTACCTGCACCCTCTTCATGCCCTTTGAAGACTTTGAGAAAATCACCACAGGAGATGAAGTCATCGAGTTTTTCCAGAAATACTTCCCTGATGCCATCCCGCTAATCGGAGTGTAAGCGACCTTTCTCCGTCTGTGTGACGAAGCGTCTCCTCTTCCTCCTTCCTGCCTCTTCATCCCAACCTGTTGGGTTGTCGTCAGAAACACCTTCACCCCACCCAAAGCGGGCGCATCATCAGCGGACTGTGAAATTGAACGCTCACACAGATTCCTGCCACCGCAAGGTTTTTAATTTTCTGCGGGTGACGGATGGACGGCAGGATGCAAGTAGCCTTAATAAAGTCTGAGACTTTTATTCGGAGCGGTCAGGCATGAGCAGCCCAGCGCGGGCTTTCCTCCCGTTACCTTTTTATAAAACCACAGCGGACAGATCCTGCCGCTCTGCAGTACCCAGCTGCGACAGACGTTTCCACTGCTAGCAGGGCGACTCCGTTGTTTAGCAAGGAAACATCAAATTAGATCAGATACTCTCAATAAATTTGTAATTGTTTTGTTTCCTGTTGTCCTTTGCAGCGCCGCCCTCAGGAGGGATTATTTCCGCCTGCCTGCTCAGGCCATGGTCTCCGTGAAGTGCTGCCCGTATCACATCGGGGACAAATGCGTCCTGATGGGGGACGCGGCGCATGCTGTGGTGCCTTTCTACGGCCAGGGGATGAACGCTGTGAGTACCGCCGAGTACAGGAAGCGAGCTGACGGAGAATCACTTTAGAGCCGATCAAACCATGAACAAAGAATCACTTTAGATCTGTTCAAAACACCCTAAAGAATCACTTTAGATCTGTTCAAAACACCCTAAAGAATCACTTTAGATCTGTTCAAAACACAATAAAGAATCACTTTAGATCTGTTCAAAACACCCTAAAGAATCACTTTATATCTGTTCAAAACTGTTAACCCTGTTCAAAAGAATCACTCATTTTCTTTTTCTTTTATGCTTTCAGGGCTTTGAAGACTGCCTTGTCTTTGATGAAATAATGAATGAGTTCAATGAGGATTTCAGTGAGTGTCTTTATGTTTTTTAAATAACAACCACTGGTGCAGAAAGAGTCTGGAGTCGGTAACAGAGTCGTTCTGGGTTTTACCTGCACAGGTGCCGTGCTGCCGGAGTACACCAGGGTCCGGGTTCCTGACGACCACGCCATCGCAGATCTGGCCATGTACAACTACGTGGAAGTAATTCAGTCCGATTTCTACATCACTTTTAATCACATTAGTTTTATTTAGAAATGCTTCACTCCAGATGTTCTGTTCCAGTACAAATATTTGATTCTCCATTCACACTATTTCAGATATTTTATTTTTTTTTTAAATCTTTTTTACATTACATTTTTGTAGATATTTGATCCCCAAGCCAAACTATTTGGGATATTTTTATTGATCCAAAACAACAGTATTTACAAGACCGATATTCATATGGCTATCGATGTCAGTACCAATACAATATCAATACGTTTATTATTTAAGGTTATCAAACTTCTGACCTTTTGAAGTTTTTATGGATTAAAAAATCGTCCCAAAACTCACTCACTCTCTGGTTACCTAGCAACTCACTCACTCTCTGGTAACCTAGCAACTCACTCACTCTCTGGTTACCTAGCAACTCACTCACTCTCTGGTTACCTAGCAACTCACTCACTCTCTGGTAACCTAGCAACTCACTCACTCTCTGGTAACCTAGCAACTCACTCACTCTCTGGTAACCTAGCAACTCACTCACTCTCTGGTAACCTAGCAACTCAGTCACTCTTTAGCAACAACCAGTGGAGTATCTAATCAGTAACAGTTTCATGTTTTGCCTCAAAATGACTGAAATAAAAAGATGGAGGTGCAGTGAAAGGAGAACATGAGGAACTCTGGAAAGCTTTTGCAGAATTTATTCCTTAGTATTGATGTAAAAGTTCTACTTCATGTATTTAAGGGAATATTAATCAATTGATTGTCAGAATAATTGATGAAAAATATGTTTAGTAATTCTCAGTTGCGGCTCTAAATGCATCAGTAGACGAAACATGAAAATGATCCATTTCATCATCTGAAGCAGAAATAAATTAAATTTTTTTTTTTACATAAAAATGGATTTCAGCATCACTGATTCACCTCACAAACACATTTTCTGTTTAACTTTCCAGATGCGGGCGCACGTCAACTCGAAATGGTTTATTTTCAGAAAACACGTGGACAATCTACTTCACCTCCTCATGCCGCACATTATTATTCCACTTTACACAATGGTAAGAGTGTCTGTACGTTCATCTTCCTTTGGGTTCAATAAAGTTTTTTGTTTTTTTTAATAAGATGGTGGAACTGGAAGTGTGTTGCTAGGTGACGGGCTGAGCTTGGCTGGCGTTGCTAGGTGACGGGCTGAGCTTGGCTGGCGTTGCTAGGTGACGGTGCAGGAACAGTTGACTGTGAAATAAATCGGCAATGGAAATAGTACTTTTTCATCGACTTTAAGGAGTTATTTACTTCAAACAAGCAGCTCCTATGTCTTGCTGAAAGTTATCAATGTTAGTTTTGTCTTTTTAAAGTGTACTAAAATATTTACACCGTAAACTAGACCAAAAATACTTAGTACGATTTTGTGTTTTTGGGGTTGTAAATGTGTTTTAAGACTTTTTCTGCATTTACAAGTTTTGGTTTCTTTGTGGTTTTGCAGGTGACTTTCACCAGGACCAGATACCATGTCGCTGTGGAGCGCTGGCATTGGCAGGACAAAGTGAGTTTTTCCTCCTTCCGTTTAATTTTCCTCTCTAATCCATCACTGTTGTGAAGTCGCAGCATTCAAAGTGCGATTCTCCAGCTGGAATATATTACTGTGAGGAGCAGAAATGTTTCTGATTGGAACCGGGAAGCGTCTGAGTCGTGCTAATGGTTTCTCTGCTGATAGGCAGAGACATCAGGGATGTCACTGCCAACCTCATAAAACGTTTCAAAAGTGAATGAGTTGGTTAAATGGATGTGATGAAGGGGAATAGAAAACGACCTCTAGAAGCCTCCGGACCATGAAAGAAGATGGAGATAAAACAGAGCAATAATGTGAAGTCCATACTGTTTAAAGGCCAGGTCTCAGTGATGTTAATCTATGAATCACGGATCATCAATTTATACTGCTTTTTTCCCATTTTGCAAAAACCAAAATGTTATTGGGTTTTTATGTGACGGATTTAAAAAAAAAGTAGTCAGTTTTGTGAATATGAATGAAAATGTGCGTCTATTCCACACCATTGATTCTGAAATCTGTAAAACAAAACATCAGTTTTTAAGTCGCCTTTTAAGTCGTGTGTAATTTAATCTTTAATCTTTGCTGATTAATGACACATCAATCACTATGAAAACACAGTGGTGGCAACATCATGCTTTGCTATTGATGAATTAGCTTAACCTGTATAGCAATGAAAGTGGCTAAAAGAAGCAATTTTTGGAAAAATATAAACATTTTTCAAAATAGTTTAATATTGCACCACAAAAAGAGCAAATCTTTTGTCTCTAAGAGCATATTTCCTTCGAAGTATAACAATATGCAATGATCATTAAAACTTAAGTACAAATAGTGATATTTTATTATTTCAAAAAGTTATTTCAGATTTGAAAACTTAGGAGGAAAAGCGATTAGTTAACAATTTGCCACATAATTTTATACCCCGTTTAGCACAAAAGATGCATTTTTACTCTTGGAAATTTTGCTGTTGCACTTTTCTCTCATCAAAAGTAATATTTTTTTTTTGTCTTTGCATGTTGATTTATCATTTTTAACATCTAAAATCCATTTTGTGTTGGTAAGAAAAATAAAGAAATTTGATGAGAAATACTGATTATGGAGAACCATTTAATTCATGACATAAATACCAACACATATTAAAATAAGTAAAGATATTTTTAAATAAATTACAAAAAATTTTTGGGGAGAGAAAAATGCAATGTTTTATTTCATGGGAACATTAAATTATTATTTATTTGACAGAATATTTATTCAAATTTTTTAAATAACTATGTAATTATTAAATGTATTTTTTTTTTTTATGAAATGTCTCTCCAAAGCTGATGTCCTACAGTAAGAATAACTGGATTATTCATAGACAAATGTTGATACACTGCAAAAACACAAAATCTTACCTACTATTGTTGGTCCTGTTTTTAGTGCAAATATGTTTACATGCATGAAATAAAACAAAATATCTCAAAGATTCTTTAGCAATGATTTAAAATGTTCTAATTTTATTGATAGTTTATTTCACTAAAATTTTTTCCTCCATGTTATAAGGAAAATAATCTGCCAGTGGAATTAGTTCTTTTTATAAATATTCATTAATAATTTGATTAAAACAAGCTCCTACATCTTGCTGAAAAGTTACTTATAAGTTAATTTCATCTAATTTCAAGTGTTTTAAAATATTTGCATTGGACACTAGACAAAAATACGTGGTAAGCTTTTGTGTTTTGCCACATAATTTTATTAAATTTTGTTAAACCCAGCAGTTCACTCTGGAAATGATAGATATTGGCAGAAACTTACAGTATGTTAAGGACTGAATCAAAGCCAATCAGGTGCTTTTATTATTATTATGAACATGTTTGTTTTCCTGCAGGTGATAAACCGCGGCCTGCTGCTCGGAGCTGTGGGAGCTGCTGCTGGCAGCTCCTATCTGCTCATTAAAAATCCTCCAGACATCAACAAGCTCGTTATCGCAGCTGAGAAGATCTGGAACAAGATGGCCGCCCTGAAGACGCCGCTGCGTGTCGGCGCCGCCTCTCAGATCTGACGGACAGGAGCCTCAGAACATCGGAACGAAGTGAGCGGCGTCTAAATTCAATTATTAAATCTAATAACGGACTTCAGATTTGACTCATTAGGATGTTTCAATTAAAGCAAATGAACAGATTTCATCTTTACATAACATTTTCAGATTAAAATAAGTCCTTTTTTTATTTGTCACAATAAAATTGCTGTACATTGATGTAATTTGTTTATTTTAAATTATTTGTTGATCTATCAGCCATATAATATGCATAAATTAAGCCCAAATTTAAAAATTGTGGAAAAATAATTTTTATTGACAGAAAAGTGTCAACAGTTATCAAGATGTAATCAGTTCATCTGATTCTGACGTGTTAAAGGTATTTATTTAATTGTAAAACTGATAACTTCAAAAGATGCTGAACATCTGAACATCCCTCGTTTTAATTATTTATTTTTCACTGAGCTATTCTCATACAATTACTGCCTTATTATGCTAAAATACTACTTTATTCTAGTAGTTTATTGTCATTGAGAAAAGAAATTGTAATAATGAGAAATAAGTAACAAATACAACATATTTAGGTTAAAATATTATGACTATTCCTGTTTTATTATGGCTTTACTTTGGTATTATTGTGAATCTTTCTCACATAATTACAACTTTATTGTGTTATTTCAAGGTTAATATTGTAATAGGAATTTTATTTTTATATCATTGCAACTTTCTTCTTGTATCACCACAACTTTTTCTTCCATTATTACACCTTTCATCAGGTAAGTGACATTACCTAAATAAAGGTGGAAAAAAGTTGTTTCAAGAATAAAGACATCATTTTATTCTTTATTACAAAGTTTTATTGTATTATTTTGACTTTATTCTTGTAATATTTTGAACTTTTCCTCTACTAAGGTGATACAATTACTTTTTTATCATGTCATCCCAACTTAGCTTTCCCCCCAAACATTAAAAAACAAAGAGGCCACTCAATCATTCAGGTCCACAGTGAAGAGGGTTTTTATTAGACATGGAGATCCATTCATTATGTCTATTCATAGCTGACACCCAGGAGGTTATGTGTCCCACCCTGATCTCATCTCCTTTTGCCTAATTACACTCCTGCAATCCTTACATATTCTCAGCAAAAGCCACTTCAGTGTCGGCTCTCATCGCACTGGTAAATGAGACGAAGTACACAAACCTGCTGGCTTAAAATAGAGTCTCTTTCCTGAATCCATACAGTAATATGTATTTATGGGTAAGAAACTAAAGCTTTATTTTTTTATCTTCTTTACACACTTGCAGTTGGGTACCAACCAAAATGTATCACCATAAATCACAAGCTGACCTGAACGTCGCCGACCTCTTAACCTGCAAAAACAGCAGATATTACCAAGTATTACCAATATCTGAATACACTTTAAATAAGACAAAACTAATTTAATAGTAACTTTTCAGATAAATAAAGGGGCTTGTTTTCACTCAATATTGATGAAAGAGTTCTAGTTTCACTGGCAGATTATTTCACTTATGACTCGAGACACCCAACATGGATATAATAACGTTTTATCGCAACACTGGAAAAACAGAATATCTTCCAAAGTATTTTTAGTCTAGTTTCTGGTGCAGATATCTTAGTTCACTTGAAATAAAACAAAACTAACTTAGAAATAACTTTTTAGCAAGATATATGAGCTTCTGTTTAAGTAAATAATTCATTAATATTGATGAAAAAGTGCTAGTTCTGTTGGCAAACATTTTTCCCACGTTACACGTTAATTTATCTACCAAAGGAACTGGTTCTTTTTCAGCAATCGTAAGAAATTATTTACCTTAATCAAGTAAATAGTCTTGCTGAAAAGTTATTTTTAACTTAATTTCATCTAATTTCAAGTTTTCTAAGATATTTGCACAACAAACTAGACAAAAATACTGTCACAAAATTGTGTGTTTTTGCATAGTATTTGTGGTACTGTTGCTACACCAATAAAAGCGACAATAAGAACCATTTATTACTTATTTTTTTTAAGGTAACTATGGCTGCATAGCCCAGCAATCAAAGCCTCACAAACACAAATACTGCTCCTGAAAACATTCAAAACTTTCCACAAACTTTTACACAGTCCAGTTAAACTCCATTTAATAATATTTTCAAGTGTAATTTTATTAATGAAACAAAATTATTATGATAAGATATTCATCACAATGTAATAAATTCCCACCCGTACCTGGAAAAATGTCTTGTTATAAGTGAAATGATCTGCCAGTGGAAATAGCACTTTTTTGTCGATACTTAGGAATTATTTACTTAAAACAAGCTCCTAAGTTTTGCTGAAAAGTTTCTTGTAATTTAGTTCTGTCTTATTTCAAGATATTAGCCGTGGAAACTAAACCAAAAATACTTTTGGTATTTTTGGGATTTTGTGTTATTGCAGAGTTAATACTGAACATAGTAGCTGTGTTTCCGTTGATAATAAGTGCGCAAATTGGAATTGCAGAAAAAAATTTGCTTAGGACAGAATTTGCACTAGGATGAGGTGGTTCAGTGTATTTCGCAAAACTGTAATGGAAAAACTTTTTTCGCATGTGTTCAACTACCGGGTGTTACTACATCCTTCCTGTTGTCTCATAAATTAAGAAGGGAAGTGGTTAGAGGATGGCCTGTCACAATACTGTCACAATATATTCTATACTATAACACATCTTGCTGGACGATAAATCATCCCAGAAGTCATTGCGATAAACAATAATGTTGTTTTGATGCCATTTTCAAGTAATACAATGGTAATCAAAGATTATTAAGCTTTAAATTGTAATGAAGATTTAACTCTGGAACTGGAAGGCATTTTAAATATCAAAACTAAATAAAACAACAGAAACAACAAATAAAATGAATTTTGAAAACAAAATTATCCCTCGAAAGAAGAGCTAATTGAGATCAAAACACCAAACTGAAGATTTTTTTTATCATCCAGTTTTTGGTAAAAAAAGAGAGAAAATAGAAAAACAATAAATCATGCAATTGGAAATTATTGATATCGTTTTAATTTATCAAGGATTAATTGATTATTACTTATTGCGACAGGCCGATGTAGCATGTTTTTTAAATGCCGTTTCTCATTTAACGTAAACACCACAATTGCAAAATTGTGTTTTTCCGGCGTTTCCATTTGTAACGGAAACGCAACCACTCTGCCGCATACTGCATGACATAAAACTAGTTAATCAACTATGCAATTACCTACGTAATATCACCAAGCCGATGTCTAATGAGGATGTCCCTTCTTTACGACTCGTTTAAGTGTTGTTGGGTATTTACAGACAGTTGTAAAAAGTCTGGGGCTGCATTCAGAAACAGCCGTGGAGGTCAGGCGGGGTTAGTTTGGCTTGGAATTGTTTGGTCATAAGGCATTACCCAGCGGTCAAAGGTCACAGCGGCCTCACTTGGATGACGTTCACCTGCGAGGAATCTTGGGCCTTGGAGGTGACGTCGAACTGCTGGAAGTTGTCGCTGGTGATGATGAAGACGATGGAGGAGGAGTTGAAGGTGACCCTCTTCTTGGGCCGGTCCCTGGAGTCGCAGGCGCTGGAGACGACGATGGGGCGGATGGGGCGCTCGGCCGGCGTCCGCGGCCGCTCTTTGAGGTTCTGCTGCAGCCAGGAGATCTTGTGGAAGAGCCGGGAGCAGAGCAGCTGCAGGAAGTAACGCCGGAACTGGAGGAAGAGGATGAAGAAAACAGATGAGCATGATCATAGGTCAGTAGAGAAGCCAAAAATTACCATCAAGTAAGAGAAGTAATTCTGCAACATACTTTTACTCAAGTGAAAAGTTGCAAGAAATTACTCAAGTCGGGGTTAAAAAGTATTTAGTAGAAAGTCTACTCATGTACTGAGTGAGTCATCAAAAAAATTGCATCATCAGACGGACTAAAATATAAAGTTAAGCGGAAATGTTAGTATTTTAAGGCCCAAAATGACAATAATTAATTCAAATAACAAAAAATAAGAGGAATTTTCCCAAATCAATTTCTTTGAATAAAAAATTTATGAAACTTTAACAAAAACTAAAATAAAAAAATAAATAAATATGTTTATTTTTCATTCAGTGACCTGATAATCCAGAAATTTGACTCCAATTAGATTAGTGGTATTTCATAATAAAATTACTGAAGTAAAAGTGAAAAGTACAGCGTAGTAAAAATGCACCTAAAAGTAACTTTTTCAAAAAAGTTCCAGAGGCAAATGTCACTAATTACTGCTCAACTGTGATGATGATGCCAGAGAGAGAACTTGCATTATTTTGCAATCACTCAAAAAAAAATACATTCTTAAAAGGTATTTTTGGTCTAGTTTCTTGTGTAAATATCTTAGTACACTTGAAATAAGACACAACTACATTGGTATGGAAAAATCCTTTTCTTAAATATTAAATCTTTAACCAATTTTTATGTCATATTTATCTATTGTATTTAATTAAGCTAATTGAACCATTTTTCATAAGCTAGCAAAGACAAAGAACAGTTCTCATTAACTGAAACCTGAGTCCGACAGTTCACGGCATAGAGACGTTGACAAAAATTTGATCGTTCTTTAACTAATTTTTCTCTGATCACATCACATAAATAATTTCTTTCCATCGATATCTTCAGTTTTTCTTTTGAGTTTTAAGCCATTTATCCATTTTTATTTCAAGTTAGCTACGGCTAGCTGTTCGCGTCGCACGTTGACGTCACTGTACGTCAACGGTTGTTACGTGCAGTACCTTGCAGACCACTAGGGGCGCTGAGAAAGACTGATTTAGAGGATTACAAACCTTTCTGCTCATGAACACGTAGATGACGGGGTTGTACGCCGTGCTGGACTTGGCGAAGAAGGACGGGATGATGGCCATGGTGGGAGAGACCATGGCCTTCCTGCCGAACGCCTCCATCATGGAAACCACGGCGTACGGCGTCCAGCACACCAGGAAACAGGAAATCATCAGGAGAAACATGGCCGCCACCTTCTTCTCGTAGCGCAGGATCTTTATAATCTGGACCGTCTGCAGGTCTTGGAGGGAACGCAGCTGCAGAAAGAGACAATTAAGACTTTAATGTCTTCAGCTGCAATGTTTCATTTCAGAAATTTTTGTATTCAATTCCAGTTTGTAAATCTAATTTCTGTTTTTTTTTGTTTTTTTTTGCAGACCGACAAAGGGATGTCCAAAGTGTGGCCCGGGGGCCATTTGTGGCCCATGTACTACTTTGGTGCCGGCCCCAACTGCAATTCAAAAGTGATACAAATTTGGCCCGTGGATGTAGATGCAGACTTAATTTACAATCACGGTAAAAAATGATGCCAACATAATTTTCCTACACAGAAACATGTTAAGTGCAACAAGTTTTAAGAAAAGTTAAAGCATTAACAAAAGTTAGAACTGAGTTTATCCAGAGACTTTAACTTTATAAAACTGACTTTATTCTTTCTTAAACTTGGCTAAATACAAAAATATTTGGAGGTAAAGGGGCCCAAATCCTGTTCTTATAACTGAAAAAACCCAAAGGAAACTGAAAACTTATTAGTTATTGCAACAAGTGTATTAATAAGACTGCCTTAGAAAAACAGACTGTCTTTAGTCAGAGGGTTCTTCAAATTTGCTGCAATGCAGACTGCTGCAGCCGATCTTTGAAGAATTTTCAATTAGTATGAGTTCAACATAAAAAAAAATAGATTTGAATAAAAAAGTGAGCTGTAATCATTTAATAATCGTTTTTAGTGGTTTAATTCATAAAATGTTTGAATTGTTTCTCCATTTCCATGTCAGCAATCTGCTGCTCTCTCCAGGTCTTTGAACGCCTGACGGGTTTTTCTGTGTCGGGAAAAGCAGGGCAGCTGCTCTGGAGTGAAATCTGAAGCATTCAGAGTGTTTTTTTTTTCTTTGAAGATTTTCCCGGATCGCCGTGAAGTGCGATGAGACTCCACTCAGGCTTCGGCGCCGTTCTGGGAATTTTCCACAGCTCGAATTCGGGGGTCTCAGAGGAGGGAGCTGCTCACACTTCTAGCAAAATGGTGAATATTTAAGGGAGGAAACTGATTCACAAAGACATGTGGGTCACTTGAACTGAGTTAAGACCGGTTTTCTTTTTTTTCTTTTTTACATGCAGATTTAACATAATGAAAGAAATCTGCACCAGCATAAAAAATCCATAATTGAGTCCATATTTTCAAAAGAATAGCTTAACATGAGGTGATATCAGGTAATATTTTCAATCTGAGCTCACTGTGGGAGATACTAAGGCAGAAATGATGAAATGAACACAACGAAGTGGAAATGTTATCCGAGCGCAAACAATTAGAGGAGCTGACCTGGAAGATGTGACATTTAAAGTTGTTAAATCAGAGCGACAGGAAGTGATGTGATGTGGTGTTTGTGCTTCAGGAGTCTAAAAACTGACCACAGCTTATGAGCACTAAAGGTTTGTTGTTTATGTTTTTTATCTTTACGTGACAGTGTCTGGTGATGAGTATGTTTTTTCTTTGGGTGAAATGGCTCTCTGCCCTGGGCGGCTCGATATGTAGGGCAGCAAACGACAGAAAATATCACCTGAATCTGATTTTTTTCTTGCTTATTTTATGTGGGATTTGTTATGGTTCCTTAAACAGATTAGGACAATTCAATGGCCTAAACAAAACATGTTCCTCATATTTTTTTCCACAAAATCATTCTTAGATACTAAGATTTTAGTCAGAATGAGCCATTTTAGGGTCTCTTGACACTTTAAATCCTAGAAAGCTACTGTTGGCCACGAACCCCCAACTCAACGTTTACAGTCGCACCTGAAAACAGATGCGCAGCTGTACAACCGTACATCTTTGAAAAGCAGAAGTGGAGCCTCCTGTACAACCAACAAAAATGCAGTAAGAGGTTTCTGGATTTTAAGTCAACAACAAAACACTTGTCTTCTTCCGGCAGCCATTGTATAGCGCAAAAAGAGGTACAATCAGCTGACCAAATATGCTGGAGTTCAGTTTGGGTTGCTTGGTAACAGACGGAACTCTGCTAGGGTTGCTAGGTAACAGTGCTGATTTGTGACTTGGCAATCTGGAGGTGTTTGAAACGGCTCATTTTTTTAAATGCTTGATTCGTTTTTAGAAGTAGTTTAGACCCAAATGGAAGTACAAAAACATGAAAAATTTAAATTTTGCGTAATTGGGACTCCCTGTGGTGTGCCCAATGTTGTGATAAATTATTGCTGTGATTAATTAAATAGCTATTTTAGTATTTTTAAAGGAGTTTGAACCACATTTAAACATCAAAACATACATATTTATACTGTTCAGACCACATCTGAATTACTCTGCCAAACAGATTCTGTCAAATAATGTTTGGAATTTATGAATCTTTAATGTATTTGTGAAAAAACAAAATCGAGGACAATTTCAAAACTTTCTTGAACTGATTTAAATAAAACAAGCATAGAAACGCAAAACATACACTATTTACAGCCTCATGTTTTACGTTTATTTCAATATGAGTCTGTAATTTCAGTTACATAATAATGCCTATTTTTTACTGAAGGGTCTTTGTTTCCAAGGTAAATTTTCTCCCTTTTCATTTGAAAAATAAGCGTACTTATATAAAGATGGATGATGAGTTTATTTTATGTGTTCATTTCCTTTGCATGTCATTACTTTGTGTGGTCAAAGCTTCATTCTTGTTCCTTCCTGCTGATTTGCAACTGTTCATCCATCATTAGCTTCACACCTGCTGCTTGTCTGGATGTAATTTGGATCATTTAAAGTATTTGCCTGTTTGGGATTCTTTTCTTCCTGCTCACTGTGAGCTTGATGACCCTTTCATTTTGGATCTCTCCTGCTGTCTGCTCTGCCTGTTTGGTCCTTTATTGTTGTTACAGTGGCAGAAGGAAACCTGTGCTTTAATGCAAAACGGCATGCAGCAATGCTATGATGATGAAATTCTTATCACAACGTTTAAACGGCTAGTGGGCAATGATTAACTTCATCAATTAATCACATTTTTTGGTTTTTGAAGATTTAATTTAGATATTTTCCCCACCAGTGACCCTGTTTCTAAAATGTAATTCAAAACTAATTTATCCCTGTTTCTATATTAATGAGTCAGGACGTAACTATTTCAGGTATCTAATGGTCAGAATTATGGGTTTTCTTTTTTTTTTTTAGCTAACATAGGCTTTTTATTGTTTTTAGTTTGGTTTAAGTGCTAGAATGAGTATTGAGGAGACAGACTTTATTGTTGGGATTAGAACATAAAACCAGAAAAGCTTTGAAATGTCAGCTTTAGAGAACCAACGGAGGATTTGCCGTTTCAAAATTAGGAATTTAATATGATTGAAATGTCACCTGCAGGGAGAATTTATTCCAGCAGAGCAGAAGGTGTGTGTCCATGTAAAACAACGAAACCGTACAGCCGCAGCCTTACCATTCTCACTGTATAAAGGATGTTGCCATAGCAGTAGACCATGATGCCAACGGGCACGAAGAAACACGCAAAGAGGAAGAAGAGGATGAAGGAGGCGTCGTTTGGGTCTTTGGACGCCCAGTCCAGGGAGCATCCCAGCTGGTGGATCTCTAACGTGTAGCGGTTCCAGCCCAGCAGAGGCGCCCCGGTCCAGGCCAGCGAGTACAGCCAGATGTGGGCGATGGCCCGCCATGCCCAGGGAAAGTCCACCACCTGAGCGTGCACCACCCGGATGTAGCGCTCATAAGCCAGAGCCGCCAGCGTCATGATGGAGACGATGCCTGGGAGGAGAGAGAGCGGCGACTCAGCGTCTCTTTGGTCCGACTTTCATCACAGTCGTCATCAAACTCAAGATCCAAGACGAAGCTAAAACTTAATCTTAAATGAAAAATGTATAAATTTTTTGCAGTTTTGTTATGGAACGATTAATCGTGACAAGTTACGATTAATCGTTTCATCCCTAGTTGTAAAAACAGATTTTCATCTTGCAGACAGTCATTTATTTATGTTAGTGTTTCAAAACTGACTGAAAAACTTGGATTTTTAGTAAAAATCTACCGGATCCCAATGTACTTAACCAATGAAACTCGTTACACACAGAGTGATACATTCCGAGCATCATTGACGGTTATTTCACTAATCGATTAATCACGATTAATCAATTCAAACTACTGTAAAAAATATCAATTTTTTAAAATAAAAACATCTTTTAACACCTTTTTGTCAAGAAAAAATATAGATTACAAGACAAGGAATTCAGAAAAACATCAATAAATATGTTTTATTTCTGTTTATTCTCAGAGCTTTTGCAGTTTTACAAACATAGTTTTTTTAAAGATGAAGCATCAATACCTCGTCTTTTCCTGCAGCTCTTTAATCTCTGTGACCTTGGATCGTAAGACAAAAGAATAGATGATTTTCAGCTAATTCATGAGTGAACACTCATTCATTTAGCTTAAACTTTAATTATCTTCCAGGTTTGCTTCATTTTGTGAAGCCAGAGCAGGTTGCCACATAAGATGTACAGTACGAGAATCGATGTGAACATCAACTTTGCATCTTTTTGATCTGCAATGTCTCCTGTGTCATGTTTGAAATGCAAACATGAACAAAAAACAAACACGTCGCTGCAGTACTGCGCGCTGGCAGAGGCAGGCAGACGCGTTCCTCACATCCTGCAGGCTCAATGCAATGTCAGCTAAAGGACGGCAGGATGACAGGAGTGGAGGGCAACTGTCCAGCACTCCCATAATGAGAAGCAACAAAAAGCAAAAAAAAAAAAAAGCTGGAAGGGTTTTTCTAATGAGCTCATTATTACTGGGCCTTCCTCTGGGCTGGGGGTCGAAGGGTGGTGGGAGCCAAAAAGTGCCTGTTCACACTTCATTATTAAATACAGCTCTGCTTATGGTAATGAGTGGGGATGTGTGTCATCCCAACGAGACGTCAGCTGGAGAAAAACAGGCAACTTCCTGATGAGGTGACACATTTAGGCTGCTGGATGCTCAAAAAAGCTTCCAAGGTCTTTTTTTGATTATTTTATACATTATTAGATATTGAAAGTATAAATAAACACATAATTCAATTCATTTTTGTTAAATAACACAGTAAGCATTATATCCGCATGATGCAATGACATCTATAGTACAAATAAACAAATCATTTTTGTTAAATAAAACAACCAACATGATGCAGCGCTCAATTTAAATAAAAATAGCATTTTGAGCCTGTTTTGTGCAGTACTAGAATACATAAAAAATGCTAAACAATTCAAAGTCTTCTTGTTAATTAAATAGGATTATATCTGCATGAAGCAGTGATCCCAATAGTCATAAAAATTTGTTTTAATTGAAAAAACAACTTTACAAACCATTTGATAGAATATTAGAAATCCATAAAATATGGCAAATTCTTTAGTAAATAAGACGATAAACATCTTATAATACATTTTAGTCAATTAAATGTAATATATTATGCATTACGCACTATTTTGGATGGTTGTGGATGTGAGTTGACTCTGAAATAAAGTATCGATTAGGAGTATAATCAATATCTGGTCATATAAACTAATAAACAAATGAAACATAATAATAATAAACCCTTTCTTCCCAGACTCACCGAACAGGCTGTTGCTGAATCCGTCCCAGACGCAGGTCGCCTGGCTCCAGATCCACCTGCCTTTGACGCACGACGCAAAGGTGAAGTTGATCCCGATGACCGACACCAGAAAATCACTGAGGCTGATGTTGACCAGCAGCAGGTTGGTGGGCGTGCGGAGCCTCTGGAACCTGCAGTAGAGTAAAATCACCGCCACGTTGTTGCAGAACCCGAACACTCCGATGGTTCCGATGGCGACCGCCAGAAGTTTGTAGGTTCCGGCCGCGAACAGGTACCGGTCCGCGCTTCGCTCGGTCTCGTTGGCCGGATTCATCTCGACGTCGCAAACTTGGTTTCCAGCATAGCGAGGCGCACGAGAGGCGAAACGGCGGGGCGCGCGCCGCTCATTCAAACGGCGAGCGGCGCGAGCGCGAATGAATGCAACTGGGTCAATGTGACGAAGTCAAGGTGGACCAGAACCTGAGCGTTTCCTTTCCGCGATACCTTTCAAATTAAAGCGCAGAGTTTGACCCGCGTGCAGTGTGACGTCATAAAGGTGTAGCAGGTTTGGCAGTTCAACTTAAATGTTTCAGATCTTCCTGCAAAGATGCAGAAATCAAAGCTTGTAAAGTTACACAGTAAAAAGTTAACTGTAAACTTTATATCATTATAAAGGGAAGAAACTGTTGGCGTTCAATTTACAAAGTCATCATGTTATTCATAGATTTGCAAATGTTTAATTCACAAACTAAATATTCAGCTTTCAAATTAAATACTTAATTAGAAATCTAAATATGTAGTTTATGAACAAAATATTTAGTTTGCAAACATGATTTAGCTCCAAGTTAAATATTTATTTTGCTAACTAAATATTAAATTCTAAACTAAATATTTCAAAGAAAAACTAGAGAACAGTGTTATCTTCTGATTTGTTTGTTTTGTAACTTTTTTCATATTTGTTTTGGTCGAAGCGTTATTATGGATGCTGTGCACCAGGGAATCATGACGGGCAGGACTCGTGTCCCAGAATCCCTTTCTCTCCTCGTCTATCTAACCACCGGACCAGGAAGTGACCTCGAAAGGAGCAGCAAAAGCAAAGGAGGTGGATCAGCATTGTTTGATGATGGTGTCATTCAGGGCATGTTGCTGGGAGATATTTTCTTGGAGCTGTTAGCAGATCAGGTCAGTCAGGTGACTGCTGTAGCGTAACAGTCTTCAGTCAGAGGCGCCTTCTGAGTCGTTGTACGACGGACTGCTACCAGAGATCCATCACGATCCACAGCTTTTTGGATGAATGAAGTAATTCTGATTTGATTTGATTTGATTTGGAAACAAACAAATCAAATCAGTGGACAAGATTTAACTGGTTATGTCACTTTCATGAGTCTCTTTGTGTATTTTATTAGTTAGCATAAAATGCTGTTTACGCCTCAGTATTTCTTATTTTTACTTTAAAATCAGGCGACGTCGGCCGCCTTCCACTTCTGACTCGAAACAGTGAAACTGACGACAGCTGGAGCGTCTTCGTTTTCCAGGCCGCAGCTCCATTTTCCGCTTTTGTTCCCATTAAAGACGTAATTACAGCCCACATAATGGGCTTTAAGCGTTTAATTACATGTACCACTTTAACTGCAGGACCCTCTGGGGCACTTCAGATCCAATTAAAAGTTAATTCATTAACATCCAGAGCATTTCACAGATGTTTGGACTTTTGTTTTACATCCAGTCCAGGTGCAATGTGTGTTTTTTTAATATTCATCGTCTCCCTGGAGCTTCTTGTCCTTAAAGGGGAGAGTTTAGCCGTGGAGTTTAATGAAGTTATGGAAGAATAATGGGAGACTCAGAGCTGGAAGAGGCTGTTGAAACTGTGTCTCTGTGATGACATTAGTTACTTTACTGTGAAAATATTTCAAGTATGGATACAAACATAAAAATATGCATTCTCACCCCTCAGGTTGTTTGTCATTTTTTCCATTTGTCACTTGATTTCAAAATGGACGCCCAACTTCAGCCCTTTAAACCAATAAAATGTTTCCTGTTTTTATGACTTGTTTGAACTTTTGTCCCCGTTAAAGACACATAGAAAGTACGTAGATTATGATTAGACTCCAAACATCTAATTGGTGACATTAGTGCAAAAATAAATTTTTCATGATATATATTGTGGCCATCTTGAAAAACCAAAGAATTATCAATAAGTATTATTTCTATGGATCCAAATATGTAATATTTCACTCCAAAAGTAATTATCTGTAAAATTCTTATGACTAACGTTCAGGAAATATTACAGTGAGCTACAATAAATATCGGCAGTTTCAACACAAAAAAACAAAAAAAATTCCTTGATGACAATGACGGCCATCTTGAATTTTTCAAAGAAGAATGCGTCTGAGATCATCTGTTCCAAGAGAAAGATTTAGCTGAAATATTAAATTGTCTGATATTCTACAAACTTAACACTCCTGATTTTCTGACATTTCTCCGTTCCTCCTGTTCAGAGAGAAATGTGTCACAGCGACATTGTTGATGTGTGACCCCATTTCTCTGTGCCTACAGGTGGGTTAGAAATAGCAAATCTTCCTCTCTCTCACACACACACGCACGCACGCACACACACACACACACACCACACAGGCAGCAGATAAAAGAGAGCGGGTTGGGAATGTTTTAATTATGCTGCTCTGACTCACTCTGGCGCGGCTCATTCTCCGTTAAAGGCTTTTCGCTGAAGGTTCAGACGAGGCGCCGCGTGGATTTACGTTCTGCTGATGCGTCGATTTCCACCAAGGACGCTCAGAACGATTCGCCGCCGCCGCACAACGCTGCTCTGACACGGACCGGGCTTTAACTGAGCCACTGCCGCATAGAGAGGAGCTGACAGGGGACCAGCAGTTAGAGCAGGCATCCAACCAACAACCATCCAACCGTTCATCCAACCCACCAAACATTCAACCAACAAACAACCATCCAACCGTTCATCCAACCCACCAAACATCGAACCAACAAGCAACCATCCAACCGTTCATCCAACCCACCAAACATCCAACCAACAAGCAACCATCCAACCGTTCATCCAACCCACCAAACATCCAACCAACAACCATCCAACCGTTCATCCAACAAACAACCATCCAACCGTTCATCCAACCCACCAAACATCCAACCAACAAGCAACCATCCAACCGTTCATCCAACCCACCAAACATCCAACCAACAAGCAACCATCCAACCGTCATCCAATCCACCAACATCCAACCAACAAGCAACCATCCAACCGTTCATCCAACCTACCAAACATCCAACCAACAAGCAACCATCCAACCGTTCATCCAACTAAGCAAACATCTAACTAAACATCCAAAGAAACATCCAACCAAACATCCAACCAACCATCCAAGTAAACAAACATTCAACCGTTCATCCAACAAGCAACCATCCAACCGTTCATCCAACCCACCAAACATCCAACCAACAAACAACCATCCAACCGTTCATCCAACCCACCAAACATCCAACCAACAAGCAACCATCCAACCGTTCATCCAACCTACCAAACATCCAACCAACAAGCAACCATCCAACCGTTCATCCAACTAAGCAAACATCTAACTAAACATCCAAAGAAACATCCAACCAAACATCCAAGTAAACAAACATTCAACCGTTCATCCAGCTAAGCAAACATCCAACCAAACATCCACCTAACTATTCCTCCAACCATCCAACCGTAATCCCACCAACCAACTAGCCATCCGTTTGTCTGTCCGTCTTTTAATAAATTTCATTCTCTTGTCCATCGATCATCTTTCTCTGCATCACATTCTGATTATTTTTTAGATATTTCTCCTGTGATAGTTGGAACAAAGTTTTCCATATAAAATGAAAAAAGCAAAGTGATTACTGGTGTTAAAAACAAACATTTTTTCCTTTAACTAGACCATCTGATGGACAGATTTCTCTCTGAGCTTTTCTTCTTCAGAAAAGCTGGAAAAAGAAACCAGTTTTCAAATGGTTGCTTTATCTGAGCCTCTGAGTTTTAAATGTTGGTCACTTGTTGTTTCTTGCAATTTCTAATCAAATGTCACTTCCTGGTATCGTACATCCCTTCAGCATGCATGCAAATAACCCACCACGACTGCACCCTGAAGCCCCTGGGAGGCAATTATTGTTATATTAAAGTCACTGTACTGGGAGTTGCCCGTGTAATGAATATTTAAGTAGCTTTTCATTGTCACAAACCTCTGCACCGCTGCCATGACAGCCCTCTAATAAGCCAGCCCTGATCATCACATCTAATTATCACCATTGATATGTTTCCTGTTTCTCTGCTGAGGATTTGCAGTTAAACACCATCCTGTCTCTCTGTAAGATGAATGTGTGGGGCTCCAAACAGGCTGTGAAATTAAGGCTCACTTAGTTAAACACATGGTGTCACAGCTGCAGGCAAAATAAGATGGACTAGATGGTGTTTAAATTCTAATTGGGAGGCAATTTAAGTCAAAAGTTTTTGTGGAGGAGTAAATATAAACAAGCGACCAAAAGATGTGGGTGAGGAAGATTGAGACCAACAGAGTGATTTAGATTATTTTGTTTTTACAAATGAAGTAAAACAAAAATGATCAGATTTAGATGCTTTAGTATCTCAACTTGTTTCTTAGTACAGAAAACATTTAGTAGGTCATAAAACTATTTTTATATTCAATCGTATGGCAACAACACTAATGTTAACAAAACTTGTTCAATTCTCGATTATTTTTTATCTGGCAAGCTGAAAACATAAGACATCATGTTTTAACAGCTACTGTTAAAACATTTAGAGGAAAAAACGCTACTTGTCTCAACAGCATCAAGAGTTGATATAGAAGTCCACAAAACACCGCTTTTATTTTGATAGGCCACTTCCGCTTATCAGCAATCCCATTTGGATCGTAGCTAAATATTTAGCTTCTACCTAAATATTTATTTAGCAAGCAAAATATATGGCTAGCAACCTACATTTAGCTAGTTGCTAACTAGATATATAGCTTACTAGCTACGTATTACCAAGGTAACTATTTAGTTTTAAAAATATTTCATTTGGAAACCAAATATATAATTAGTAGCTAAATATTTAGATTATAAACCAGGTATTTAGTTTACAAATAAAATATTTAACTTCCTAACTAAATATTTAATTTTCAAGCTAAATATTATGTTTGTCAAGTAAATAATCAGCTTGTGAATTAAATATTTATTTGGAAACTGTGACATTTATAAATGTATGAATAACATGGTGAAATATATTTTAGATAGCAACCTAAATTTAAATTTAGTTGGCAGGCTAGCCTGTTGCTAACTAAATATGTAGCCAGTAAGTAACATATTTAGATATTAAATATCTAGCTAGTAAGCTAAATATATAGCTTACTAGCTAGATATTTAGTAAGCTAAATATTTAGCTTACTAGCTAGATATTTAGCTTACTAGCTAGATATTTAGCTAGCAGGAGGCTAGATAGCTAAATATGTAGCTTGCTATCAATATTTAACTTGCTATTGGCAGCAAGCTACTACTAAAATGGAGTAGCAGGCTGCCATGTTTTAGCAATACGTAGCAATTTAGCTACGTATTTAGTTAGCAAGCTAAGTATTTAGTTTGAAAAATAAACATTCATTTTGGGAAACAAATATGTAATTTGGAGCTAAATATTTAGTTTGCAAACTAAATATTTAGCTTATAAACTAAATAGTAAATATTTAGCAAACTAAATTTTTAGTTAGCAGACTAAACCGTTAGCTTAATATTTTGTTACAAACAAAATATTTAGCTTGTGAATTAGGTATTTTATTATAAACTGTGATGTTTATAAATTTAGATATAACATGATGAAACTATGACTTTAAAAAATTAATTCCCAAATTATTTCTTTAATTTTTTTTATTGTGTAACTTCTCTGCCAGCTACTAAATAACGGTGTTCCTTAGTTTTTCACTGACAACATTTTCCTTTTTGTGGTGCCTGTATTAAATGTGCTGCGAACACATTAGAAATGTTGAATTTATTCATTCTCACAATAAAAAGTGAAATGTTTTTCATTTTCCAAGTAGCAACAACATGCAGAGAACTGCTGACATTCGTTCTCCCAGTTACGTTACTTTTGTTTACGTCAGCCCAGAGCAAAGCAGCGACCCCGTTTCTCCGTGGTTCGGCAAGCAGGACATTGTGCAGGCATGTGAAAAACATTTCATTTGGCTATCGTTTTATAACTCTGAGCCAAGCATTTTAAAGGAGCGGGTCATGCATTCTGATCAGGCAACTTGGGATATGTGAAATAAAAGAAAGTAATAAAAACAGGCTGGAAGGAGAAACGTTCCTTTGCAGTGAAATGTGAGCCGTTGGAGTGGAAATTTAAACGTGACTGGTTAAATCAGAATACTTTCACATTTATTTATTTATGAATGCAGAAAAGGTTTGAAGAATAAAAACCTCTGTTGGCTCTTAAAATGTGATTTTTAAGACAGAAACTCGGCATGATACATGGTGCTCACAGTTAACGAATGAGCAGCTTTACAGTGGAAACAGGAGTCTGTGTGTGTGTGTGTGTGTGTGTGTGTGTGTGTGTGTGTGTGTGTGTGTGTGTGTGTGTGTGTGTGTGTTTGCGTGTGTGTGCGTGTGTGTGTGTGTGTGTGTGTGTGATTATTTCACTTTGTAAAATCTGACCAATGTATTTTTGGTCTACTTCTATTAGTTCACCTGATATAAAACAAAACTAACAAGTAACTTGACAGTTATGAGCTTGTTTTAAGTATTAAATCCTTAATATTAAGTATAATAATAAGTTCTATT